AAACAATTTTGTCACGTATGATATGAAACAGTAATGTTTTCTCAGAGTTAATGTTCCCTCAGAGAGCGATACATTACCTTATCTACTTATCTTTGTTTGCTTTAGTAATCTTCATTCTAGTACATTTCTATTGTCAGAAGATGCTTTTAACCGAGACGGAAAGGGTGATTGTATTGATGATGAGAGGATATGGTGACAGAATAAGGTCCTATTGAGAAATAGCCGAATGCAATGCCACTTATCCTGATCATAATTTCAAAATCAACTGTTAAAAGAACTGTTGCTCGTTTCCAAAGAACAGGTTTAATTAAAGATGAGCCAAGATCCGGAAGACCCAAAAACGCTACTAACGATGATAAAGCTGCAGATGTTCTGAAAGTTGTAAACGATAATTCTTCTATATCGGTCTCGAGAATAGTTTAAGAAAGTGATATTAGCGCAACACCAATCTGTCAAATTTTGAGTAGGCATCATTATCATCCTTACAAAATGCATCTAGTCCAGCAGCTATCCGAAGACGACTATGACAAAAGAGTGGAATTTTACGACACAATGATGACAAAATTTGATGATAATAATCAATTTTTTAACTGGATCTGTTTCTCTGACGAAGCAACATTTTAATTAAGCGGTTCTGTAAATCGACAGAATATGAGGTATTGGGCAGATGAAAATCCATATTGGATGAGAGAAAGGCCACACGCAGCATTCTTAGAAGATTAACGCTTGGGCCGAAATAATGCTTAATCATATTATAGGATCATTTTTCATTGAAGATAACATAATTTCAGATAATTACTTGAGTTTGCTAAGAAATCAAATGATTATTCAAGATTTTGCTAAAGAAGCTTTCCAGAATATTTGATTCCAGCAGGATGGGGCTCAAGCTCATTTTTCACAGTGTTTTTACTGATCGATGGATTGGTAGAAGAGGCACAATAGAATGGCCACCGAGATCACCAGATCTGAGCCCATTAGACTTTTTTTACTGAAAGCATTTAAAAAGTAAAATCTATGAGACCCGCAAATTTAGAAGAGCTGTGACAAAGAATAGTGAACGTTTCGAATTCAATTACACCAGAATGCATACGTAACGTTATCGATACGTTTTACGTACGCATGGGACACTGTCAAGTTGTTGGAAAACATCAATTCGAACAGTTGATAAAATAATGTTTTTATTAATATGTTAATAAAATTAATAATTAATGTTTTTACATGCTTTCACATATACCATTGTTTCTCTCTCTCTCTCTCTTTCTTTCTATCTTACACACACATGCACGCACGCACGCACGCATAGAAGAGACTTTTTCTTCTGAATAACAATGTTCAAATGATCATAACTCCCCCGGGAATGTTAAGGTGGGTGTTTTTAAGGTTCAATAGATTTTATGATCTCATTGTATTCTTGTAAATTTCAATCTTATATCTTGAACCATTCAGAAATTATTCAGGTGGCCCGGGACTTTTGGCGGACCTTATATTTCGTTTAGATGTTTGGAACTATAATATGTTATTATGTAAACAAAATTTAAGAAATTTTATTAGTATCTCACAAAGGAGTTTTTTCGAACGTTAATAATATAAAGTTAAAAAATATATAAGTAATTTGACTTTGAGTTAATATATATAATAATTAATAGTAATCTTTCCACACCGTGAATGACCTCATATTTGATTTCATATTTTTTGCGTAAATATACACAATGGCTGCATTCAGCAGACTCAATAATTGAGTGAGCGCTCGTTTCTATTGATGTATTCTTCTAGATTTAAAATTCTGATTGGATGGTCCAAAAGAATAATTCACTCAACTGTTGAGTATGTTGAATTATACATATATACGTATATGCCAGACAAAAAAATAGATAAACTAATTTAGTACAATATGCTTTTTGTTAATATAGTTTTTCGCTGGTATAGCTAATTCATTACATCGAAAAAGTTTCTCTTATCAACTGAGTTACTTAAGGTTGTTTTAAGTGTTTAAATTATTATAATATACATTACTATAATATACATTAAACTGTAATAATATATATAATTACTATTGAATATAAAACATATTCTATTTTAATAAAACAAAGAAAAGAGCTAATAAAGAGTCAACACGGTTAACAATGTGTAAAAATTATTTATTGTGAAAGAACTAAGGATGGAGTCCCATGAGGTGTATCGCGTAACCACGTAACCAATTAATAATCAATAAAACGCGAAATTAAACGCTACAACAACGGATCGCTTCTAATTGGTTACGCGGTTATATGCGGTAAATACACCTTATAGGACTCTATCCTAATGTGCAGATGTTAAGACTGACTTTTTAGTCTTCCTCAACGTAATGTAAGCTAAATTAATAATAAGCTGTTCCTAACTCATAATGTAAATAACGCAAATATTGAAACACGTAATTCATAATAAGATATAATTGTTGCGCATTAGAAACGCACAGATTTTTGCAATACGATCATCGTGCTAATACGAAGAAGTAAGTTTACACGAAAAAATAACGGAAAATCCAGCAGCAAGGTTTGTTTTTTGTATGAACTCACTTCTTCGTGGTGATCATATTGCAAAAATCGGTACGTTTTTAAGGATATTTTGTATATTATATTTTCAAAATGATAACAAAATTATGAAAAAAATACAGATTATAATTAAAAATAATATGTCAAATTTAGTGACGGTTTACTATCTGGATCATAAGTTATTTTAATAAATAGTAGTATTTTTTAAATATGTGCTGATACTTGAATAAAAATGTATGAAAATATTATACAATAAGATAAATGACAAAAATTTCAATTTTTTAATATACTTACATAATGTATTCAAGCTTATTCATATATAGTTACATTGCAATATATGAACTAGTTGTCCAGTAAATGAACAAAATATTTATTTGTTCTATATCTTTGTAACTAAACAGTGAATCGCAATGCATAATTTACTTTGAATATTTAAAGAACTTACAAAAAATTTAAATTTTTGTTATCATTTTAAAATTTTAATTTTTAACAATAAATATAATAATAAATGCAATCTTATTCACATAACTTTCATATGTATTATATACAGTTAATTTGAAGTGTAAGTATTAAACACATTTCCAAATTAATTTTTTTGCAGGGACTGTACGTGTGATACATCCTTAATGCGTGACAATTATATTTTATTATGAATTACATGTTTTAGTATTTCGTTTATATTATGAGTTAGGAATAGATTCATTGTTAATTTAATTTATATTGCATTGAAGGACTGAAAATGTCAGTTAAAACGCATGCATATTAATTTTTTCACAATAAATAATTTTTACGCACCATTAATTGCGTTAGCTCTTTATTAGCTTCTTTCTTTGTTTTATTAGATTTATTCTTAGAGCCGTTGAAATATATTTATTTATATTCTATTTTGTATTTAATATTCAAGGAATGAAATTAAAATTCTACATATTTTTTTATTATTATAACATCAGTACATTTATCAAACTTTTTTTATTTTCTTTTTATTCTAAATATTATCTGAGATACTGTCTGAGAATAAGACTACCTAATCAATGTTATTTAAAAAAAGTCAAGCAAGAATTTATATATACATAAACTATGAAAGTATCGATAAAGGATTTATTCGAATAAGCTAAATATATTATAAGTGCTGTTTTTAATTCAATTATGTATCCTTTTCAAAATGGTCTGAAGAAACCGGTTGCTTCTTTCTTTTAATATTTTTCATTGTCTTTTTCCCAGTGGCACGAGATAGTTTTAGCTAATGGATACTTTAAGCATCAATTTGATAATCATTACGTCTAGATAGTTCTTATGAAATCTTATCAGAAATTTATGCTATAATTATAGAACGATGCCACCTTGTGCAATGTGCGATCAATTCTAGAGGAAAATATCGTACGGTATCTCGTACATTTACGGGTAAAGTACCGCTAGTCGTACACAGGCACGCATGCATACGCGTTTGTATGAATGTGCGTATACTCGTGCATGCGCGGGCGTGGATATTTATACCGATACAAGCGCACATGGTACACACGGATGTGTGGAAAGGAAAGAGGGAACAACGGAAGAGAATAGCTAGAAAGGAGAACAGGACAGAGAAGGAAAGAGGAAGAAGAGCATAAAACGAGAAAAATAGAAAAAAGAGTGAGATTCGGTCGCGCGGAGGAAAGCGGGAAGATCAGAGGGGACGTGGACTGGGACTATGCCATGTATTCATACACAGTGTATCCAAGAGAAATACTCAGATGATCAGTTCATAGTATTGAGGAAGAAACGAAGAATGCACAAGAGAGAGCAGGGACGGATTGTCCGATATTAATGTTAAATCTTCCTACATAGACTCGAATCGTGAATGCAATTATTTATTATAATGAAAAATTAAAGAGGACGTCTTATATCAAAAGTTTTATATTAAAAGTAGTTACAATCAGTATTGCATTTAAAATGGCATCTTCAAATTTTTCACAAGTATAGCCTTTGCTATAAATATAAATCTACAAATTGAAGTAAATGTTTTATATATAATAAAACATTAATTTAAAATAATTTATTGAAAAATAATATTTATATAACATTTAATATTTTTTAATATTTTATTAGTTTTCTTTTGGCTTTTATTATCGCTTTTTCCACAAAAATACAATACATTAAGAGTGAGATACATTTATACTTCTGACAAAAAGCTGCATTTAGAATTCCGCAAATAGCGTACTAATTAGTTGATTAACTGAGGTATTAATTGAATCTTTCTTTTCTATGCGTTGCTTATTCCGTAAGCAATAACCTAAATCGCTGATCTCATCCATCGCAATGCTTTGTAAGAGTGAAAAAAGCAACAGAAGTCACAGTTAGCACCGCTCCTGTCAACAACCCTATCCCCTCCAGATAACATTTACAAAGCCGGTCAATCATCGTTCTATCTCATTTCTTCCTTTCTTTTTCTTTCTCCTTGTTTCACTTACCTTCATGGGCCGTCATTGGTGCAGAAGTGGGGATCCGCACACTCTGACCCACAAGTAGGCCTTGATCTCTACCCAGTCAGTGTCCATCAAACGAGTCGAAGCAAACGATGTGGGTATGCATGGTGCAACATTGTAAACGTCGTTGAACTCTCTCGTCAGTGAAGAAAAATAGTTTGACACGCACGTGATCGGAACCGTGCAAACGGGACAGTGCACCAATCTTGGTGACTTTCTTCTCTCTTTCTCTTTCTTTTTTCTTTCTTCTTTCTTGTTTTCCCCTATCAAGAAACAAACGGAGACAGCACAGGGAGGTTGAAGATGATACTGAGAACTGCCCCCGATGGCATTGTCCTTCTGCTCGCGCTCATCGGGTTAGTTGGCGGGCAGGATGATGATTCTTTGGCCAGTACCTTTCTGTCAGGTAAAAATTCTTTGATTGGCTGATGTCCACTTTTATCAATGTAGATTAACTTTAATCGGTTTAATTCCTTTATTCTTTATTTTTTTTTTAATTTTTTGAAGAAGGAAATAAAAAGTAATTTAAATTAAGATTAAATCTAAGATTTATAATCATATTGTAAATCGAATAACTGAAAACTGAAGACACAAGCAATGTTCTTATAAAAGTTTACTGTTATGAAAGTTTAATTCTTATAAAAGTTTACTATCTTAAAAAAGACTGTTACGTTTAATAAAATTATGATACTATTAGCATTGCGTCCGATGAGAAAAGCTTTGTTGTGTTTATACGGATGTTTTAGCTTACACATCCGTAAATATCTCTTTATTATTATTACACTTATATGAAATTGTCACTTCTACCACTCATTTCTAAAAAGACTTGTCATAAATATATATGATTCTCATTAAATAATAATAAATTTTAATTATACACTTATCAGAGTCCGACCGAAACTTTTGCCGAAACTAAACTGAAACATTCGGCTACATGTTAATTTCAACCGAAACCGAAATTTAAAAAATAGGAATTCTATAAGGACCATATGTATAGATCTCATCATTTTTTCATAAATATCATCATTTAATTGAAACAATAATTAAATTTTAGCCAAAATTGAAAACCGAAATTTCGGTTATGTGTCAATTTTGATCAAAAAATATTAAAATACTTCTTCAATAAACATCATAATTTATTTATTGAAACAATAATTACACATATTAAAAGTAATATTTATAAAGAAGAGGTACATGGTTTCAGTCGAAACTGACACGCAATGAATTTCGTTTTCAGTTTCAATAGAAGTTTCGGTCGAACTCTACCACTTATATACATATATAATGTCCGCTAAAAGGGGCCAGCTGAATATCTCGGAAAACATGCATTTTTTTAGAAAAATGTTTTAAATAAAAATTATAGAGTTTAAAAAAAAATGTTATTCAGGACATGATTCCGAACAACGTTTAAGAGGTTTTAGTCGGTCGGACATCTTGGGTAATAATATTAGTAATGGCGGTAATTATAAAATATTAGTAATTATTACAATTTTCAAGTCTTATAATTTGAAAAATACTTAATGAAAATTTACTGAATGAACTTTATTGTAGCGTTTTGAAAAGTTTTTGACATCAGCTATTAGATTCTGTAATCAACAATAAGGTATCCAATTTAAAAAAATCAATGACCTTGACTTGACATTGGTGATTGTACCCAAGGTCAAACTGATGAGATCATTAAATAGATCTTTTTAAACTTTACAATTTTTGTGTAAAACATTTTTCTCAAAAATACATGCTTTTCGATATTGAGCTGGCCCGGAACTTTTAGCAGGCACTATATAATAATATACATTACCATCAATAATGCAACATATAATGTAAGATTCTTAGAATGATATTTGCACTATCGGTACTAACTATTATTTAACAAATACTTGTGCGCGCGCGCATATGTGTGTGTATGTGTGTGTGTGTGTGTGTGTGTGTGTGTGTGTGTGTGTGCGTGCGCGCACGCACGCGCAATAAATATAGTATGTGAATAATATCGCGTCGTTAAAATAAACTATTTGAAATGAAATGTGTATTTCAGTCACTTTCCAATTTTGTTAAATCGCATCGAATTGAGTTGGTTTTTTCTCTCCTAATTGTTAGTGGCGCGATTTTTGTGTATGCGATGCACGTAATATATAACCGACAAAAAGTTATCCGGTGGCAGCAGCGGCCTCGAGAAATAGAAATTCGCGTGCGCCAATGGTACGCATTTATAGGTAGAATCTGGAAGAATGGACTGTGTTCCACTTTTAGGAGTTGTGTAGCGGATGACGGTTGATTCACTGGAGGTAACAAGGCCGTTACTGACATAAACTTTAAAAACTAAGAAAGAAGCGACGCGATTATCTTCTAGGCTGGGGTTTTTACCTTTTACTCAATTTATTTATTATTCACAGAGTCAAATCTCCAGTCAACCTGATTTTTTGCTACCGTTATTAAAAACAAAATTAGTCATTGTCGTTTCCACTCAGGAGATGATATATTTTAATGTTTCTTATTTAATACTATATAAAAATTTTTTATAAATCCTATGTGTCTTGAGTTAAAAAAATTAAAAAGATCTTTCTAGCTTGGAGAACTTTTAAAAGTTATTGAGTTTTATTTAAATTATTTACTGCTCTCCAATAATACAGAGTTACAAAATATTGTAACTATGTATAAAGAAAGTCGAGCGACTAAGAGCACTTAACACGATAATTAGTACGAAATAATAAAGTTCTTTTTTTGATAGGATTCTTCTCGCTGTACCCTTTGATTATTCACCTATCATTTTTATTCTGAAATTAGTTATTGACATCACTGAAAATGACTGAAGTCGAAATGTAATCATGTAAGATCTCTAAAATACAGACCTTTATTATTACGCATTAATTACCGCATTATTAAATGCTCTCGATGTCGCCCGACATTCTACTTTCTTCATTGTTATTATTACGAGAGCCCGAATTTTTATTTTATTTTATTGTAACTATGCTTATAAAAAAATGTAAAATGTGAGATCAGATTTTCCAAATCATAAACACAAATTGATTTAGTTTGAATGCGAAAAATATCATCAAAAGATCAGTCAATTTTTTAAAATAATGGAGAGTTAATTCCTTAAAGCGTAGGGATTTCCTGAGCGAGCGAAAGGTTTACCAAAATTACAAAAATTGATCCTAATTAAGACTTGTGTGTATTCCTAAACTTGCATACATGTGCAAGTGTTTGCGATAAAAATGACATGATTTTGCGTCTCGATTTAACAATATTTACACCAATACAAATAATGTTTTATATTAAATATTCGCATTGGAATTAAATATTTTAACTTAAATAAGTATATATTTCAATTAGAAACATATTAGGTGTTGGAATTAATTCGTAGCGTTTTACAAGTGATGGGAAGTACTTTCATTAATGTATTTTTTAATGCTCATGTGAAATAAATAACATTCTTTCATTAAAAAACGCTACGAATTAATTCCAACACCTAATATTTTATAGAAATATATTTTATTTTATTTTATTATTATCTGAATAAAGAATATTATTATTATTATTATCCGAATATTATTATTATTTGAATAAAAAAATATCATTATTTTTTAAACAATTAAATATACAATATATATAGCATTTTAGAAAAAATATTTACTTAAAAATAAGAAATTGTTTATTATAATGAAAAAAATGTGTTTTTTTATACAAGCCTATAGAGATAGAGTATAGACTAAAGGAAAACATAATCTACACACACACACACACACACACACACACACACACACACACACACACACGACATTTAGGCTGCGAAACTTAAATTGGATACTTGGGCTGCGTTCTAAAATTCACTGCCAACAAAATCTATAGTTTATGTTACATGCACTATAAAATTTCAGTACTGACAGTAAATTTTGAAACACAGCCTTAGTTACACAGCTTGGCGCAGTAAATGTTTCTGCATTCTGAGGATCGGTATTCATAGTTCAGTTTTTCAAGACTGTCTGACTTAAAATACTAATACCTTCTGATTAAGTGACTGATTGAATATCGAATTCGTAAATAACCGTGCGATAAACACATGTTATAACAGCCTATTAGGTTTATCACTCCGGTATCTTAGATTCGAATTCCATTGATGCGTTTTCGAAAATTATAAAACTGTAAAAGCGATTATAATTAATAAATTATGTGAAATACGTTGTTGTGACATATACGTAAAATACCGTTTAAAAAATACTAAATTTATTTAGTAAATTAAGGATGTACAATCGATCACTTGCGGGATAGATGGTGAGGAGGGTACGCTATTGTTCTACATTGGTAATACTAACCTAATGGATGAAATCTTTTAATAATAAGAAAGGCTAATTTATGATTTATTAAAATTAAAAGATAAAATTGATTGCTAATTTTTAATTATGAATCATAATAGTAATAATCTATTATTAGAAAATGCAAGTAATTATTTAATTTTTATATTTAATTTTTATATTTCATGATTGTCGGTAATTTGACAAATGTTACATGTTCTGAAAATGAGGTTGGCATTCCTACTCGAGTTGCGTATATATTAGTAATTGATTAATGCCACTAGTAATTGACTAGTGCCACTAGTAATTGACAATTAATTGAGATTAAAATATTTCATATACGTATTTTACAGCTAAAAATATAACAATAGGTTATAAGCAAGCACATATATTTAATCACACATGTGTCACAAGAGAAGCAAGCCGCAAATCTGGAAATGGATTATTAGTGAAATTATTTGATTATTCAGTCGTAGTTTTTCGTGAGAAGAGGTACTATTAGATTATTGGGAAAACTATTCAGATAAATATTGAAAAAATTAATTAATTCAGTGTTACTCTTAAAATATTAGTTTAGCATCATATTTCAGAATATACATGACAAAATTATGATAAAAAAAAGATTTTATATTATATCTAGTCAGTATATCATATCTAGTCAACAGATATTGTCAAAAAGATATTGTCACGTATATGTAAAATATACGTGAGTATTTAGTTTCATAAACGAATCTAAAAAATTTTAGTTTAATTTCTCCAACGAATAGTTTGACACACAAGGATGAATATTGCAAATACTTTAATTACTGATATGGCGTTATAATCTCTGATTATAGACTTAATGAATTATGCAATAATTAGGCGCAGTTTATTTAAATAGTTATTATTATGAATGTAGTTCTAACTATTGAAAGCCAGTAATCATTCATATACATAACTATTAAAATAGTGCGCTGTAATGATCATTACGGATAATCTGATTAGAAAATCAATAATCACTGAGTAGTTAAGAATTATTGAGAAATGATTATTGCAAATAATCCGACTAGTGGAATCAATAATCACTCCGATAAAAACTATTGGGAAGTAATTATTGTGAATAATCCGATTATTGGAT